TATATATATATATATATATACCACATTTATATATAAAATGTAGTAATCAGAACAACTCTCCCTGAATTCCCCTCATTCTCTCTTCTCGCCCAAATACATATCCTTTCCCACACACACAAGACCTGCCCTGTCAAAGTGACTGCTGTCATACATCAGATATATTAAGTTATAGTTTCCTCCTGCACTCTGTGGTTCTGGAGTTAGCAAGACACTGTTCATGGGCTGATCATGTAGCTCATTGTCATGGTGGTGCCAGTCGGCTACCCTGGCAGCTGTAGATGATGTAGGTTCTTAAATACCCCAGAAAGCTTTCCAACAGCAGAATTTCCAAGCGTGGTACAGCATCTTTTGTGGTTTATAAAACCCCTCTAGAGGTTATTGTAATCCCTTGGGGCATCATCTACGAATATTGCCATCCCAGGCTTCTGTGTGCTAAGTATTAAAACAAAAATCTGAAATAGTTTATGTGACAAGGCATAGTGCAGGTGGTACAAGACAGCCACAGCAGCAAATCCTGATGTTAGTACATGCTTGGTAGTATTATCTCAACAAGGTACCTGACCTGCTAAACCTTAGTTCCCCATTCTGTAAAATGGGGCTTCATACATATTTGATAAAATAGTTGTAAGGACTGAATTCAATAATGGTATATATAAAGCACTGCTTGGCACCACCAAATACTCTAACTGGTAGTTATTTAAATAAAACTTCCTTTCAGTCCCCATGAAAACATTCATTTCAGTGTTAGCAGTACAGTAAATAGTGCTCAAGTACTACTGTTGATTGATAAGTCTGTCCTATTATACTCCTTGGAGACCCTTCTGTCATCATCTTTGGTAAACCAGGCATGGAAAAGCACATGTGACAGTCAGTATAACTTTAGTGCTCATGAATTCAAGGTGATCTTGTCCTAAAATTTGAAAATGATACTTTGTGCATATAGCTAGACACCATAGCACCACAGTGGAGGTAGAATGAGGCTATTGTACTGAATGTGACCTTTCTGTCTCAAGATAACACCTTAGGTTTTAGGAACCTTCAGAACTAGGATGAATAATCACAATAGTTCTATTGAAGGAGCTGTCAGGGAAGGTGAACAGCTTTTAGAGTGTCCAGATACCTACCTTATAATTTTGCATACCACCAGGCAGGGATATTGTAATTTATAATGTAAAGAATAATTTGTTGAATTATGAGATTATGTAGCTTATTTACATGCACACACATATACCCATAAATACATATCAACCTTCTGTCTGTACCAAATATATTTTCTCAACTGTATTTACTTGGGATATTGTGAAATATGTTTCCTTTCCTTAAATCTGTCTGAGTGGTGGACAGAATATATAGGGTCAGGGAGAAGGTGGCAGAAGATGAAAAATTTTATCATAAAACTCTACTGTTCATGTGACTTACTAGTAGATTCAACAGATTTGACCTATCAATCTTGTTTTAATTAAACAACCAAACCAATTTTATTCCATAGGAATGCAAATTTTCATACTGTGTCATAGTTTGGGAAATTATAAATGGTAAAGAATTCAAATTTCCACTTAGCCTTTAAATGTAGTAAAAAATTCGCATAATTTGGTGATCAAGTCTCAGGTCGGCCACTGATGAACTGAATGACTTTTGGGTTTTAAAGTCTCATTGCCTTGATTTATAAAATGGAAATAAAGATAGCTGCCAGAAAAGGCTTGTTGTTATGGAATTCAAGTGTGTCTGTATATGTACAAATATTTACATGTTTATATTACATGCATTTTGTGTTTGTATGTAAAGCACTACATACTAAGTTTGAAACATGCTTCTGCTTAATTAAAAATATAGCTGTTTTGTAGAATACACTTTAGATGTTTCTTTGAGAACTCTAAGTAACAGCCTTTTCTAAAAGAAAATAATAACATTTACTATTTGTTCTCTCGAACTATAGGCTTATGAAAAAATCGCTTACCTTCTCACTAATTTAGGTAAGTCAATTTTTCTTCACTCCTTATTAAGAGAATAACAGATGGGCATATCAATCTGTAGTTGCTCTACTTACCTTAGCATTTTTTAATATCAACTTCAGTTACATAACAATAAAAATGAAAGAAGTGTCACAGTAAATTGGACTATGTTGCCTAACTATAGAGAGGCAATGTGTGTAGTTACAAAATCTCCTTCCTAGAAATTAGCAAATCTACTTCTCCCTACTTAGAAATGCTTATTTTTCCCTGCCTTTTCAGTTCTTTGTTTTTCTTTTCCCCAATATTTATTTTAATCAAAATGTTGTACTACATGTACAAAATTTAAAAGGCAAAATAATATTAAGAGATTTATCATGAAAACCAGTCCTTCACCACATTAACCCAAGGTACTGCTTTTTAATAATTTTACCAATTTCTTCTCTTATTACCCTATCTCTAAATAACATGCTTCTAGTACTATTCCTGATTTTTCAGCTTTGGGAAGCTGCTGCCTTCCCACTATGAAAGACAAGAACTTAAGTCTTAATGTTCCCTGTGGTGTCCTGTTTTGCACACTTCCCTATTCATCACCTGTTATACAAAAATCTATTTCTCTCCCTTCCAAAATAATTATATCAACATTTTTAGCCTAATTAATAATTAGTGTACATATAACTATTATTGTATCTATGTAACTTTTAATATCAAAAGCATGTACTGTGATTATTTCCTTTCTTAGGCAATTTTTATATTGTCATGAAACTAATAGTAGCACTTTTTTTGTTCAGTTTTCTAAGTACTTGCTTTAATTTATCCCAGACCTTCTGCCTCAACTCTAAATTTTCTCTAAATTCATGCCAAATTGAGTACTCTACCTTTTGACATTGTATTTTATATTATTTTGATTGTGCTAATCTGTGCTTCAAATTAGAAATAATGTTATACTTCCTAGAAGGATTCAGACAAGTTCTGTGCCAAATTTACAAACTATTTAGAAGGAAACAGTGAAAACACAACCTATCAAAACCTGTGGGGAAATGTTGGTTCTCCTCTCTGCTCTTACTGGTCCACACCAACCAGTCACTCTTTTGGGTGATGCTCCATGAACCTGTCCTGTGTCTGGCACCTATCTCTTTTAGGTTTAGAGTTCCCCCAGACATATTTCTTCTTTATTCTGTGACTGGGTCATACATACATTTTGGACTATCTTTTCCCTAGATCAGATCCCATCTATTTTCCCAACTACCGTTCTTAAATTCTTCATTTATATGAAAATATATATTGTATGTGCATATGTATATTCTATCATTTATTTGGATACTGGGTGCGAGCAGAGGTTACAGTGCATGCTACCATCTCATCCAATCTCTGTGATCATTTTGTTTTATTTTATTTTCCTTTGTTTTGTTTTGCTTTGTTAAGAGCCATAGAACCATAAAATGTGAGAGTTGACAGGGGTCTTGAAATCATCTTGTCTAAATTCCTCATTTCATAGATGATAAAACCAGTTACAAAAAAAGTGAAGAGACCTGCCTGAGATTGCCAGCAAATTAAGTGTAAAATTGAGATGAGAAACCAGCTCTTCTGAATGATACAGCCCTCTGTCCTCTTTACCATTCCACTTCTGTCAGCACACAAAATAGTCATTCTTCAAAAAACTCTGTGGACAATTTAGGTCCCTATATTGAGCACAGCCAATTTGAATGAAGAACTGATCCAGTATTTACGGCCACATCAAAATGACAATAGGCAGAGAGGATTTTGAAAATTTTTATATATTAATAACAGACATTTCATTTTCATAGCTGTGGGGAAAGCCTGAAGTTTACCTCATTGGATCCTTTCATCAATTCTGTTCAGCAAATATTATTGTTCACATTTTGCAGACCCAGACACTAAAACTCAGACACACCAAATGCCTCATAGAACAAGTAAATGACAGCCAGAACTTGAATATGAGGCTTCTGATTCACTACCCATGTTTCCTGTCATTCACCTCATCTGTGTAAACACACCCTATGTTCCTTTTAGAATATCCTCGAACAGAATCTGAATGGGAAAACAGTTTTGCTCTGAAGATGTTTCTCTTCCAATTTGTCAACTTAAACAGTTCTATTTTCTATATTGCTTTCTTTTTGGGGAGGTAAGTCAACTTTATACACATTATCTTTACGGAGGCAGAAAGATTGTCAACTGTTCCATGGCCAGTTTGTTAATACATGGGGCAAATTTTTATCCCCTGCCTTGGAAAACTGTGCTAATCAGTCTTCAAATGTGTTTTAATTATTTTAATGAATTAAATCTATGTTTCATCCTTAGGCTGAGGTTTGATTACCCAATCATTAGTAATGATTTTGTTAAATAATAAAATAAGTTTTGTATAGCCCTAAGTTACAGTTCCTCAATGTGGAAAGTTCTACCTTTTTTTTTCCTAATCTGTGCTGCAAACTATGAAAAATAACTATATTAAACTAGTGATTTGGTTTTCCATATGCTTAATTAACACTCCACCCAGTGGCATGGGCATGTTCTGAAGCTAGAAATATTTTAAACAGAACAATTCAACAAATTATATTACTATTCATTAACTGGGTCAACAAGACATTTAAACTCTTCAGATGAAAGTGGAAAACTTCATTTGATTGGTTTTTGTCTGTGCTTTCTCAACCCATTGGTATTGAATTCACACATCACTTTTTCCTTTTTAAGCCAGGTACTTTGATGTGTAAGCATGGCCTTAGCCTAGTGCTTAGGCACCAGCGAACATTTATATGTCTACCCACACATGCCCTTACTGTGATGCGTTGGCAGCTGCTCTTCAGTCAACCCCACATAAATGCTAATGAATTTAAATGGCTTTTTACAGATTTGTAGGCCACCCAGGAAATTACAATAAACTTTTTAACCGGTGGAGACTGGAAGAAGTAAGTACCCTTGTAAGGGCGGGTGTGGGGATGGGCATGGATATAGGGTGATGACTGTAGGAGGAGGAGAGAGAGACAAAGAAGACGGGTACAAGGAATTTCAGACATTCTGAAGACACATTTTTGGTAGAGGAGAGTTCCTATGGAATTAAAAATGAACCACATCTTTCCAAAAAAGGGGGTAAAGTTAAATAAAAATTTAAACCCCGAGATCTTGACCTCAGCTCTCATTAATTTTCTATGAAGTCCATTTCCTGCATTCACAAAGCCCCAAAATTTAGCTCCAGGTATTTTTCATTGTGGAAATTATTATTATCTATTTTATGGGTTTTCAAACTTTAGTGCAAAAGAAATATTACTTGAAACACCAATCTACAAATATTTGTCTCCCAAAGCTCATATTTCATTGATTTATATCTATGTCATAGAAACAAAGTGTCTGAGAGTAGTATTGCTAGATCACAGGGTAAACATTGTGTGTTTTCACTGAGATTGGCAATTGTCCTCCAAAATGTCAGTTACAAGTTGTCCTCAGACTTTTAACAATAGGAACATTTTAATTTTTACCAATATAATAGCGAAAAAGGAACTTTCTCTGATTTTAGTAACTTAATTATGAATGAGGCAGAAAATAATTTTCACATTTTTTGGACACTTTATATTTGTGTGTGTTTACTGTTCACATGTTCATTTTCATTAGACTGTTTTTCTCTGTTCTAAGAATTCATAAACTAATAAAATTAGGTTCTGAGCTTTCAAATTTGCTGCAGATACATTTCCCAAATTCTTGTACATCTTTTAATTTTATTTGATACATGTTTTATAAAACTATATAGCACTTTCTTATCAAAATATCACTGTTGTTAATGACTCTAGGAATATCTATTATGCCAAAAAATGTGTTCTTCATCCTGAAAACTGAAAAAAAAACTAACACCTTTATTTTTCAATAATGTTATTTTTTTTAATGTTGATATCTTTGACCCATTGGCAGTTTGTTTTGGTGTACGAATATCAAGCTTTTCCCTCCAGTTGGCAGCCATTCATTTAATAAATAATATATATTTTCACTCAGCAAAATGAGATTCCAAGATTTATCATATTTTGTATCTTTAAATTGTGTCTATTTCTGGACTCTGTGCAGTCTCATTGGTCAGATTGTTTACTCCTTCTCTAGTTCAAAATTGTTTTTATTAATGTACAATACATTTTATTATGGTAGCAGTAGTAGAAGATTCTGATTTACAGAAAGGCTAAGAAAAGATTCCCCAAGAAAACTGAGGGTAGAATTATCTCTGGTATCTATGTAAATAGTCTCCTAAAAGCTAAAGGGAGGTCTTATAGTGTTGTCCCCCAAGAACCTTCTAGAAACTGGAATACTTAGAGAAAGCCTAACACTTCCTAAGAATATATCCTTTGTATCTTAGAAAATTGGGCTCAAATCCTTTCTACTTTGCCCTTAATATAGCCTCTCTGAATGTCTCCTCATCTGTAAACTAGAAATACTAATACTTAGGTGAAAAGCTGTTTGTAGATAAGCAATAGGTAGTATAACACAGTTAGTACAACCTCGGGACTGTGGTAGGCACTCTGTAAAGTGTAGCTGATATTTATCCGCTTTCTGTCTCCACAGCTGCTATTGGCCAAGGACAGACTAAGGCTTTTCACAATCTCAGGCCTTCAGGAAGTCCCCAAATAAAACTTGCAGTTTTCTTTTATAGCCCAGGGGTACTACTATATCTGCTAGAAGGCTTTTATCTACCCAATTTGAGACCCAGGGCTTATTTTTTTTCCCAGGGGTGTTCAAGTGGAGTTAGCAAGGTGTGGGGAGCAGAGTGGTTTCAGCCAGGTAGGTCTGCATATTGGGGCCAGTTAGTCACTTCTGCCTTCAACAGTTCTGTTTAATTAGGTATTCTTAACTGTGAAATTATTTGAAGTCATGAGTCCTCCTTAAAAGCCCCAAGGAAATAATCTTAATACTGGTGTCAGGAAAGATGTTTTACAACCATCCTAAATCCTTTCTGCAATATTTATAACATACATAGGGTTCATATTTTCCAATAGAGGATTATTTATTTTGAACAAATTCAGTGAAATAAAAAATGATGGTTTGTGATAGACCCTAGAAATCTCAGAACTATAAATAAAAAAAAGTATAAATAATAGAAGATAAGAATTAACCCTCTGAATTCAATCATTCAACAAGCATTAATTGATAAAAACTTCATTCTAGTCCTCTGCTGGGTAATATAGGATACACAAATCAAGAAGTCCCTTTCCTTTTCTTTCACAGTGTTAAAAGTCTTGAAGAAAAGAACATAAACATGACACATAATAAGTAAATTATCTTTAGAGTTCACATGCTAATTCTGCCCCATACAAATGCATCATATTAATATCTCAAAGTATCAGTTTTTTCTTTTGGTGATAAGAATAGCTACCTCAGTAGTAGTGATGACAGGTGGATTGAACTGGATCATGCATGTAAAATCCCTGGCACAAATAGTGCTAGCCATTATTAAGAAAGAGAAGACTACCACACTTTAATTTAGAACCATCATGACCACCTATCCTGGACTTCCCTCATACTCTGCTGTATAATATCTCACATAAATATTTTCTGTAAATCTTCATAAAATGTTGATAATAGCTGATAGTTAATGAGTGTTTACTGTATGCCAACATATTCCAGCAATTGTTTCTAAGAGTTCTACATATATAATGCATTTAATTTTCACAAAGTTCTACTATTATACTCATTTTGCAGAGGAAAGAAGCTTAGAGAAGTTATATAATTTGCCTACAATTATAGAAACGTACTTGTAAATTGATGAAGTCATCAACTTCAAATCAGTTTGATTCAGGCAGTAGCTTCAGTGTCTGTGCTCTAAAAACTGCTTTCCAACCACCATTGGGATAACATTTAAGCACAATCAAGAACATTCTGGAAATTCACTTTTGTAAGAGAGTGCTGAATGAGTGCTGGCTCATGCATGTGGATTGAATTTAAAGTAAACTTACTGAAGTGGATGAAGTGAAAGGAACATGGGTATTGGGATCTGATAGTCCTGTCTGCCACTTAGCTTCATCAGCTGCACGATAGAGAAATCAACACCTATCTCACCAGGTTCTCATGAAAAGCAGATGAAAAAATATGTGAAGGCACCCAGCTCTGGATTGCCTATGGTCATTTGATTTGAGTAGTGCAATGGAAATGAAAGTCTGAGTCCCTTACACACTCATCCATACCGTTTTGCTCAGCTAAGTGTAAGATCTTTTTACCAAATTAATTTTAGAATATTGAAGAACTGGATTTAGCTCAGAGCAACCATTATGTGAGGAGGCAGAACCACAAAAAGTACTAGATCCTTTCTCTGGCCTATAAATCAAAAAGTCATCAAGGCTAAATTTCAACAAAATGATAAATGGCCTGTCTTTGGCCTACCATTGTGGAGAGTGATCCAATCAGATGGTTTTATGAGGGTCTTCTTCTTCCCTTTCCATATAACAATATGCTTTGGTAGACCAGCCCTTCAAGATAACAAACACATTTGGTAAATAGAATTCATCCTTAGCCTTATATAAAAGAGCAGTGGATTAGAGTGAAGGAGACCAAGGCTTTCATTACCACAGCATCAGTTAGCATTGTATGACTTTGGACAAGTCAATTTGCCTCTTTGAGTCTCTCTACAAAAATGAAGAGTGTCAGCTTGCAGCTGTGATATATGTCTGCCTCTGTAGTTTAGCAATTATTCTGCTTCAGACATTCTAGCGGACCCATTTATCATATATATGTGGCAGAGCTCAGAGGGTCCTCAATTCATGCTGGAAAGAAGGGACATACTTGAAGGGGAGAATTGGGACTTCTCCACACAATAAAACTGACCACTTGCAAAACCTTTGTCTGGCTTATATTAGGGAGTTTTAAGTTACTGGACTAGAACCAGAAATGCAAGCTCTTTGTGTCCTAATTATTTGTTCTCTTTGAAGTCCCACTGGCACCTATTTAACAGAAATAGAAACTGTGGATCAAAGCTAAAATGACTGTCGTACTTATCAGCAGGACATGAATCTATTTTCAAAGAAACAAACCTACACTTTGCTACCCAAATGTCTTCTGCAGTGTTTTCTAGCAAAATACATCAATTGAAGTTTTCATCTGTAATCACATTTTTTGTTTGTGAGAGTTTTTAATGCTAACTTTTTATTGAATATCTACAAAAAGCAGGGGAGCCAGAGAAAGCAAAATTGGGTTCATACCAACAAACTTTCTGTGGTATGCTTGCATCACTTAGACCTCTTAATACATACGGACACTCCCTCTCCAGGAGATAGATCTTAACACCTGCCCTCCTACATGAGCGTGGGCTAGACTTCATGACTCATTTCTAAAGACAAGAATAGGGAAAGGGAAAAATGAGTAACTTTAAAGCAGAAACACCTGGCAAGCACTACCTCAACCAGTTAACGAAGGTTAATATCAGTAGCAATGTCATGTGGATATGATGTAACCCCTGATGGGATATGATAAAAATGTCACTTTACTTCTGTAATCTTCTTCCATCTCCAAAACACATAAGCCCAGACTAAACGTGTGAAAACATCAGATAATACCCTGAGCAAATATACCTTGGTAATGTAAAGGACAATGGAGAGAATTAGGTGAGGGTGTATGGGTACTCTCTTTATTATCTTTGCCAACTTCCTATAAATTTAAAATTATTCTGAGAAAGAAAGGTTATTTTAAAAGAAGGTTATATTATAAACATTTGTTTTAAAAGGCTATATTATAAACATTTGCCATAGAATTAAATATTTTGTCCCCTGATTGTTAATAGATATGTATATAGTATTCCAGAAAATTAATTAAATGTGGTCACGCCTAACACAGAGCTTGACAAATAGTAAGTACTCCTTAAAATTAGATTTGTTGTTATTGCTATTTTAATTTTTATCAATATTCCAACATAATCACCAAAAACTTCCCTATCAAATTTCCTTTCCTTCCTTACTGGAAACTTCCCTGTCAAATTATTTTCTTTAGAATTGAGATAGCATGACCTGGCTTTAGAATGTGCTATACTATCTGAAAGTGGGCATGTTTAAGCCAGCTGAGGCAGAGCAAGGTGGTTACTATTCCTGTTGTTCTGTTTCAGTGTCATCCCAGTGGCTGTTTGATAGACCTCTGCCTCCAGATGGGAGTTATCATGTTTCTGAAGCAAATATGGAACAACTTCATGGAACTGGGATACCCGTGAGCACCTTATTTTTAAACTTGCCATATATGTAGCTACAAAGAAGAAAGATAGAGGTAGTGTGAATAGTTTTTAAAAATTGGGGTTTCATAGTCAGACAGATGAAGGTTCAGTTCCTGCTCTGCTAAATATGAGTTAATAACCTTTTCTGAAAAGTTTCCATGTCTCTAGGAGGGGGTCAACAGCTAAATCTACCTCAAGAACAGTTGTAATGATTAGAGGAAGTAATGGACATAGAACACTCAGTCCAACACATTAAGATGCTTGTTACTATTCTTAAAACATGACTGACAGGACAAGTTCTTGAGGCTAAAAATAGGTTTCTGGTTTCTTCTGGCTACCCAAGGACCAACACTACTGTTGTTTAATAGAGAGAGTCTCCATTTATGTGCCCCTCCCCCAAAGTGAATAAAACAAAGATAAAATCTTAGATGGGCATGCTTTATGCTCTTTATTCACACACACAAACACACATGCACACACACACACACCACACACACACAGCATTGATTGTGATGACATCAAAACAAGGGCATTCTATTTTGTCCCTTTAGATAAGTCTTGACTGTGAAATGATGACATGGAAAGATCCTGAATGCCTACTTCTACATCTACTAAAATATATTATGTCTCAGAATACAGTTAAATGCAGTGTATTTAAAACAATGTGGCATGGAAGCTTTGAGGCCTAATCAAGGTTGAAAACATGACTTTTGGAAGAATTTCCTAACTTCAGGAAACTGGTTAATTGATTAATGATGTAAATAGCTTAGGCTCAGTCTTCAAATTTTACCATGATATCAGGACATTCTTCAAGAGGAGATTTAAAAGGCTGTACAGGTGCTACTTATCCTGAAATCTGCCATATTGTTTAAAATTACAGAGAGTCTTAGAACATGGACAGCAAAATTACTGAGGCCTGATTCAAATTCCTTCTCTGTCACTTGCTAAATTTCTTTGACCTCTCCGAGACATTTTTTTTTTAACTTGTAAAATGTTATTTTTGAAGATTAAAGGAGATGACTCAATGGTCTTTAAACCTTCATCAGTAAATGAGAGAACCTTTTTGTGAAGAGATTTTTATACAGATCCTCAATATTCAAAACAGATTAAAATGAATCTCTTCTAAATGAAGAGCAAATAGGGATGGCGGTCTGGGAGGCCCAGAACAATTCTTCATATCCCTCCTACCCTTGGTTCACTTCCTTGAAACAGAGGGTTTAGGGAACACCATTTGAAAATACCTGAAAGAAATTAGGTATCAAGTCCCTAGCACAGGATCAGACATGCTGTTAGTACTCATAAGCACCATCAAGATGGTGTAGCAGTAATAGTATTAAAAATGATTCTTACTGTTACCATTGTCCATATACTTATGTATGTAGACACCATGGACTTTGGGCATTACATTGTCACCATGGCTTTGCACATGAGGTCAGCCTGGACTGTGGATATCAAGTCCTAAGGGTATCCTGGTAAGGAACATCCTATCAGTGTTTTTCCAAAAGCTGAGCAAAGGCTTTATTGAAGAAAATCTAGCAGGAGTGAGCTAGTCACTGACATGGTGATTTTCACAATTTTAAACTGTAATTCTCTTCAAATAAAATCTTAGCGGCCTGAAATAATAAAACAGAAACAAGCCATCTTCCACCAATCCCAACTGCCAGTCCCTTTTCCATCTTCATGGGGCACCTGCAGGGGGCACTGAGGCACTGCCTGACGTTTTAGTCTAGCTATGGCTTTTCTGTCAACTCCCACTGAAGCTCTAAGCCTGTGATTAATTAAAATTGAGAGTTGAGTACTATTCACTGAATCCTGTGAGAATCACCTCTTCCTGGATGTAAATTTCATCTGACTCTTCAAATAATTCATTCCCCAAAAGTGCACAGTGCTTGCACACCTGAGTCACATATTTCTGAGTCACAAATTTCTGAGTCACGTATTTCTGAGTCACATATTTCAAGGCTACCCTGGGCTGGGGCAGGAGTGCTGTTGCATCCTGTCCAGGTCTGAGGAATGGACTCAGACACACATCCATTGCCTATTAATTATCACTCACTATAGTAGCAGAGTAATCGTTGACACTGAAGCACTTCATGGTCATAAACTCAGCTGAAGCCACACAGCTAATGTATTGCAGGACAGAGACTAGAAGTTACATATTTTCCTAGTGCTAAGTTATTTAATGTCGAACATGATCATGTTCAGAGAGCACACACGGGAAGATTTTGGGTTATGAGCAATGAAGAGCTCAGAGCCAGTCACAACAGGCAGCATAGGAGTATGCACATTTCTCTAGGTGGGGGTAGGGAGAAGAATCATAGGAACTGGTGTTTGTCAGTATAAGGAAGTACGCAAGTGTATGGGGTATCAATTCCTACATACATGTATAGATGTTTATAGGGTATAGGAAGGTTGAGGCCTATCTCCTGTTCTAAACTTGGTAATTGAAACCATGGAAATATGTTCAATCCCCAGGAATGCTTAGTATAGTCCCAGGGTAGTTGGTGTTTCTCATTAATACACTGTAAATTGTTAATTTATAGTGCTTAAGTGAGATGCTTGAATAAGTGTTCAAAAGCTCTTTGTCTGCTCTGTGATGTAGGTTGATCCAGAACTGGTGGTCACGTCATAAAATAAAGCGGGGAATACAAGATGCTTCCATTCCTCAGTGGGAAAATGATTGGAATTTGCAGCCCATGAATATTCATGGACTGATGGATGAGTACTTAGAAATGGGTAAGGAAAGAATCTAATGAAGAGCTATTTGGCTATTTGGCCAAAGACTAAGAGCACTTAGTAAATCATACTGTTTATATTGCTAACTTTCTAATGCTCTCCCTTTATAGTGTTGCATAGAAAAAATACGGGTTTTTCTACTTCATGTGCCGGCTTTGGTTCAAGAGAGAAAACAATCTTTCTCCTTTCCTACTGCAAACATTCTAAAACACATCTGTATTTTAGCTCAACAGAGCTAGAGAAGATATTAAAGCAGTGCCCTTGGAAGACTGACACAGTTTGTCCTCTGTCAGCCATAGCATATGACCAAAATCAGGTTTTTTGTCATAGTAATACACTTAGCATTTGAGGAAATATTTTAAAGGAACAAAATAAAGCGGAATCAATTCCTATGTTAATAAATGTACTATCCTACTCAAATAAAACAATAATTCTTTCTAACAATAAGCCTTTGCACAGACCCAGTCTGAGTCAGTTTCCTTAAGAAGCTTGCTTATTTATATTAAGAAAATAAGGGCTCCCACTCCATTAAAACCACTCTGTGTTGTCTTGACATTTGCTTTTTCTCTGGCCTTCATTTTTCTCATCTATAAAAAGGAACGGTAAAGTTGGCCTCTTGCATCCCTTATAGAGCTAAGCGTTTTTCTTCAAGCCCTCCTCTTTGACTTCATTTTTCTTTATTCTTCCTTCATGCTTCATGGCAGAGAGCTGGAAAGCAATAGATTTTCAACCTATTAAGATCTGTGTTTGAATGTAGGTTTTAACATTTTCCAGCTACCTACTCTTTAATAAGTTAATACATATGAGCTAGTTTTCTCAACTGCAAAATCGGATAAGTATATTTTACCTTGTAAGAATGTGAAAAGACTAAGAGCAATTTATGTGAAGCCCCTAAACAGCCCCTAAAACAGCACAAAGAAGGCACTTAGTAAATCATACTGCTTATATTGCTAACTTTCTAATGCTCTCCCTTTATAGTGTTGCAGTTTGGTTTTACCACAATCTTTGTTGCGGCTTTTCCTCTGGCCCCTCTTTTGGCTTTATTAAACAATATCATTGAAATCAGGCTGGATGCCTACAAATTTGTCACTCAGTGGCGGAGACCTCTGCCAGCCCGAGCAACTGACATAGGTAAGACTCAAGAATTAAATGATCTTTTCATTGCTAAGACTAAGAGGTGACTTGATCTTACTTAGACTATGCAGGTTTCTGTTGTTTGACCTCCCTTCCAATAATAACTGAACTGAGTAGGTTTAGTCTACAAAACAATGAATGAACACTAACTTAGTTGAGAGTAAGTTCATGTTATAAAAGTTATTTCATAAACTTGTTTGGAACCAAAAAAGATCTCATACATACCTTTCCATGTTAATAAATATAGTTCTGCCTCATTTGTTATAAGTATTGCAAATATTTCTATTATGTTGTGAGACATTTTTTAAAAAATCATTCCCCTAGATAGAGATGTCTAGATTCGTTCAGTTCTTTGCTGTTATAAACAACAATGAGGTGAACATGTTCATGCATACTTTCATTATTTCCTAAAAATAAATTCCTAGAATGGAACTCCTGTGTCAAAGAACATGTACTTTTAAAATTTTGATGAATAATTTGTCAACATATTCCCCAGAAATATGCCAATTTATACTCTACCACTCTATCACAAATAAGATTTTAAAGTGTGTATACATTCAAGTTGATATCTCTTTTATACTTTACTAAGAAAGTGAATGATGTTCAGAAATGTGGTAAACATAAGTCAAACATAACTTTCCTAAATAAAATAAATTAAAGGGTTTAAAATTTTTCACTTTATTCACCATCTTTAATCTTTTTCCTACTAGGGATCTGGTATGGAATTCTTGAAGGAATCGGCATATTGGCTGTGATCACCAATGCATTTGTAATTGCTATTACATCTGATTACATCCCACGTTTTGTCTATGAATACAAATATGGTCCCTGTGCAAGTGATTTTGAATATGGGGAAAAGTAAGGTTGAAATTTACACATTTTCCTGATATGTTTTATGTTTGCAATTAAAATGGGAACTTACTGGGAAGTTTTATTATGTGACCATTAAGTGCGATGTTTCTGATCATTGCATTTGCAGTGTATTTATTAGATGAACTCAAGTGGATAAGAAGGGTAACAGTGTTTTTTACAGCAGATAATTTTAGAGTCTATGTTTCTACTTATAAATGCATACTGATACTAAATGTTTAAAAAAAGACTATAATGTATTTAGAAGTTAAATTTAGAACTGAAAGAGACCTTAGAAGTCTTCCAATGTAATCTAACTATTTGCATGGGGAAATTGACGCACACATTTGTTAACCAAATTCGTGGGAAAATGACAAAATAAAAGGATTTTAAGGGTATAGAAGATGTTACCCTAGATCTATTGCCTTTTTTGGTTTGTTGTCAACATTTAAATCCACCCTTGAAACAGGATTTCTCAATGTCTTCACTATTGGCATTTTAGACCAGGTAATTCTGTTGGGGTGGGGGCCATCCTGTGTATTATATGCTGTTTATGCGGTGCTTGACAGCATCCTTGGCTGCTTACCCAGTAGATCACAATAGCAGCCTCCGGCTTCTCAAGTTGTGACCACCCAGGCTCTGAAGAACTTCCCCTGGGGGACAAAATCACCCAATTTAAAACCACAGCTTTAGGGGACATGGGTTTTTCAGGTTTTTCCTTCCTGAAAGCAAGTATTAGGAAAGAATGTAAGAGAGCACTATACTTGAGGACCAGGGAGAAATTGGGGTTTTAGCTGGAGATTAGCCTTCGGTGTGGAAGTAGTGACGGGAGATGAAGTAATGATGGGAGAAGCTCTTCTCCTGCCTGCAGGGGCAGCTCTGGGCGTGCATCTTATTTAGATGTAAGACATGTGCCCCAGTAGCTGAGCCCTGGTTTACGATGAAATCAACCGTTAACTCTACTGGTAACCTGAGGTTTTCTTAGAATGCTGGAATGCCTTTCTGAACATAAATATCCCAGTTTTTCAAGGAGAGGTAATAAAAGCATGACATTTTATTGTATATTTTTTAGTCAAGGGATTTAACTTGAAGTCAAACACCCTAGGAACAAGTTCTAACTTTGTCTTTTACTAAAAGTCTCATCATCTTTCTGGACCTATGATTAAGAAATAGTGTCCAAAATCAGATTTTATCAACTGAAAAACATTATATAAATAAAGTTGTGTTATTAATAGTGAAAAAAGAATATAGAAAATCCCTATTTTTAAATTCAAAATGGTATAGAAGCAGAGTTTAAGGGTTTTAAATATAGGCATGTTTGGCAACCCTCTTTTTAGAAGCGTTATTTGTTAGTGTCTTTGCTTCCACCTAGTGGCAGGTGAAAAACAGATGGGTTGGTTTTTGGTTACCTGCTCTGTTCACATTTCAGGTCCTGCCTTTCATGTAAGTAGCATGTGATGCCTCCTCCAAGTTCAGTAACTAATGATGTAGAATAATTTCAAGAAGAGATGAGGAGGGCTCGTGTGAAGTTGAAACCACACGTGCATAGGGGCATCTTATTATATACTTATTTCCAGGTGTACTTAGGAGCTCAATTGAAGTAGATTCCATATTGGAAATTTTCAAAGCAAGACGACAAAAGCACAAGATAGCAATGGAGAGAAGGGTATTGGCAACAGAGCAGCTGAAATGATAAATTATGAAGTCTAGGCTGGGCAGAGAAGGGAGTGAAGCCAGTGTGGCACTTCAGGGTCCATGAGGTCAATACTGTTTTCATAGAAGTCCTAAGATGTTATTCACTGACATTTGTACAAATGGTACAAAAACAATGGTAGATAAAATTTTCTGGTGGCTTTGCATGACTCAAGGCAGTGGCACCAACCAGCACTAGCAATGATTATATTTTTCACCTCTATGTATTTTTTAAATAGCCAAGAAGAAATTTCAGAATGTCCTTGAGGAGGCTGTAATAATTATTAGCTTTATCAAATGCCCACCCTTGAATGCATGTCTTTACAATATTCTATTTGACAAATGCAAAACGTGCATGAAGTATTCTGCTATATAATGAAGTACAAAGGCTGCCCCAAAGAAAAGCACTTGTGTGATTGTTGGATTGCAAACTCAACAAACTCTGGTTTTTTAACATAAAACAATGATTGCCAGACAAACTATGATTATTCAGACTTGGGTATTTTACAGACACTCTTTTATATAATACACAAAATTTACTTGTCCTTTTAAGGAAAATAGTGGCCAGTATTAATTGTCATTTATTAAAGATCCAGTTTTGAAATGAAAATTAGAATTCTGGATAATTTGAACTACCACTGATTTTAAAAGTTTCCTAGTACTTAAAGATTTTTTTCTGATAAAAATCAATGTTGATATTAACAATAGTAATTTTTCATAGTTTACATTAAAATACATCAACATTGGGAAGATCTGCACAATTCAGGGAACAATATTTTCCAAATGATCTATATTTGATGTTACAGCATCATGCATGGGCAAAAGGTGAATTTAAAGTACAAGATAGATGTATGGGTTTTAATATAAAATTATTATGAAAAGTTTATCGATACCTTAAGATTTCACATTGTAACTAAACTTTAAGAAATGACCACATGTATAGAGCTTCAATTCAATAATCAAAGAAACATGTTGACGATTATCTGAAATGCTATTAAAATGGTCCTTTTTCAAACTCCTATCTAGAGGAGGCCAGATTCTCTACTTACTCTTCAACCAAAGCAACATATTACAACAGATTTAATGCAGAAGTACATATCAAAATCTTCTGTAAAGAAGACATCAAATAGATTTGCAAACATGTAAAACAATGCCAATTTTCTTCCTTTAGAAAATCTAGTGATTTTTCTTAAAAAATGTTATTTATATTAATTTGTAATGGATTTGATGTTATTTTAAATGAATTAATAGATAAATATTCTCTAAATTTCTGTTTTAATTTATAATGTGTTAAATACCAATACTTATACCCCTATGCAAAAGGTCCTTGAGATCTTCATTAATTTTTTAAAACATAAAGGGTGACTAAGACAAAAATTTTGAGAATTACAGGCCTAGAGCAAGTAATTTAGTACTTGTAAACTTTAGTTCTTTAATCTATATAATGGGAATAATGATATATATGTCCTAAGGTTATTATAAAAGTTAACCTTGACCACAGTTTATTACCAACCACCAGGATAGAGATTTTTATCTGTTAACATTCACAGTTTAGTACCAAGCATCTAGAATTTTCTAACAAACTAGGTTCTCAATAAATATATATTAAATAAGTTAATAAATCACAAATAAGCTTGACTTTTGATTGCTTAATTATAATTGATCAAATAGTGTTGTATGTATGTATATTTATAAAACATATATTTATAAAGTTTTAATGCTTCGCAAGTAATCACCACAATGCCTAGTGCATAGTAAATACTCTATAAGTATTGAAAAGACAAGGTAGAAAGGACGGGATAAATGGCAGATGATAGTCTGTCTCATTAAGGTACAATTAAGATGTAATGGGAGCTAGGGAGAGCTGATTCGCTAGGAGTTTATAAATGGAATGAAAAGAATAATGATACATTACATCCTGTCATTTGTAAAGAAGGAATTGTACTGAAAATTTATGAGTCTCTGAATTACATGATTCTTCTTTTCTCCCAGTTGTTTAAAGGGATATGTCAACAATAGCCTATCCTTCTTTGACCTGAGTGAGCTTGGTATTGGAAAATCTGGTTATTGCAGGTACTTACTTACAAATAATATTTTCTTCGTGTTTTCACCATTCCATTCTGCCCCCTCTACATGTTAATGAGCCCATTGAAACTGTCATTTTGGAGTGTGTCAAATCAAGAAAATTTGGGTCCTCCACACTTTTTGGTCTGTGTTCTTCATTTTTTTTGTTGTTCTTGTGGATTTTAGATACCGAGACTACAGAGGTCCACCTTGGAGTTCCAAACCCTATGAGTTCACCTTACAATACTGGCATATCCTTGCTGCTCGATTGGCCTTCATTATCGTATTTGAGGTTAGTCACTGATATGGCTTATAAAATTACCACAGGTGAACGCTTTTCCACCTTATATGTTAAAGTTGAAACCACACGTGCATAGGGGCATCTTATTATATACTTATTTCCAGGTGTACTTAGGAGCTCAATTGAAGTAGATTCCATATTGGAAATTTTCAAAGCAAGACGACAAAAGCACAAGATAGCAATGGAGAGAAGGGTATTGGCAACAGAGCAGCTGAAATGATAAATTATGAAGTCTAGGCTGGGCAGAGAAGGGAGTGAAGCCAGTGTGGCACTTCAGGGTCCATGAGGTCAATACTGTTTTCATAGAAGTCCTAAGATGTTATTCACTGACATTTGTACAAATGGTACAAAAACAATGGTAGATAAAATTTTCTGGTGGCTTTGCATGACTCAAGGCAGTGGCACCAACCAGCACTAGCAATGATTATATTTTTCACCTCTATGTATTTTTTAAATAGCCAAGAAGAAATTTCAGAATGTCCTTGAGGAGGCTGTAATAATTATTAGCTTTATCAAATGCCCACCCTTGAATGCATGTCTTTACAATATTCTATTTGACAAATGCAAAACGTGCATGAAGTATTCTGCTATATAATGAAGTACAAAGGCTGCCCCAAAGAAAAGCACTTGTGTGATTGTTGGATTGCAAACTCAACAAACTCTGGTTTTTTAACATAAAACAATGATTGCCAGACAAACTATGATTATTCAGACTTGGGTATTTTACAGACACTCTTTTATATAATACACAAAATTTACTTGTCCTTTTAAGGAAAATAGTGGCCAGTATTAATTGTCATTTATTAAAGATCCAGTTTTGAAATGAAAATTAGAATTCTGGATAATTTGAACTACCACTGATTTTAAAAGTTTCCTAGTACTTAAAGATTTTTTTCTGATAAAAATCAATGTTGATATTAACAATAGTAATTTTTCATAGTTTACATTAAAATACATCAACATTGGGAAGATCTGCACAATTCAGGGAACAATATTTTCCAAATGATCTATATTTGATGTTACAGCATCATGCATGGGCAAAAGGTGAATTTAAAGTACAAGATAGATGTATGGGTTTTAATATAAAATTATTATGAAAAGTTTATCGATACCTTAAGATTTCACATTGTAACTAAACTTTAAGAAATGACCACATGTATAGAGCTTCAATTCAATAATCAAAGAAACATGTTGACGATTATCTGAAATGCTATTAAAATGGTCCTTTTTCAAACTCCTATCTAGAGGAGGCCAGATTCTCTACTTACTCTTCAACCAAAGCAACATATTACAACAGATTTAATGCAGAAGTACATATCAAAATCTTCTGTAAAGAAGACATCAAATAGATTTGCAAACATGTAAAACAATGCCAATTTTCTTCCTTTAGAAAATCTAGTGATTTTTCTTAAAAAATGTTATTTATATTAATTTGTAATGGATTTGATGTTATTTTAAATGAATTAATAGATAAATATTCTCTAAATTTCTGTTTTAATTTATAATGTGTTAAATACCAATACTTATACCCCTATGCAAAAGGTCCTTGAGATCTTCATTAATTTTTTAAAACATAAAGGGTGACTAAGACAAAAATTTTGAGAATTACAGGCCTAGAGCAAGTAATTTAGTACTTGTAAACTTTAGTTCTTTAATCTATATAATGGGAATAATGATATATATGTCCTAAGGTTATTATAAAAGTTAACCTTGACCACAGTTTATTACCAACCACCAGGATAGAGATTTTTATCTGTTAACATTCACAGTTTAGTACCAAGCATCTAGAATTTTCTAACAAACTAGGTTCTCAATAAATATATATTAAATAAGTTAATAAATCACAAATAAGCTTGACTTTTGATTGCTTAATTATAATTGATCAAATAGTGTTGTATGTATGTATATTTATAAAACATATATTTATAAAGTTTTAATGCTTCGCAAGTAATCACCACAATGCCTAGTGCATAGTAAATACTCTATAAGTATTGAAAAGACAAGGTAGAAAGGACGGGATAAATGGCAGATGATAGTCTGTCTCATTAAGGTACAATTAAGATGTAATGGGAGCTAGGGAGAGCTGATTCGCTAGGAGTTTATAAATGGAATGAAAAGAATAATGATACATTACATCCTGTCATTTGTAAAGAAGGAATTGTACTGAAAATTTATGAGTCTCTGAATTACATGATTCTTCTTTTCTCCCAGTTGTTTAAAGGGATATGTCAACAATAGCCTATCCTTCTTTGACCTGAGTGAGCTTGGTATTGGAAAATCTGGTTATTGCAGGTACTTACTTACAAATAATATTTTCTTCGTGTTTTCACCATTCCATTCTGCCCCCTCTACATGTTAATGAGCCCATTGAAACTGTCATTTTGGAGTGTGTCAAATCAAGAAAATTTGGGTCCTCCACACTTTTTGGTCTGTGTTCTTCATTTTTTTTGTTGTTCTTGTGGATTTTAGATACCGAGACTACAGAGGTCCACCTTGGAGTTCCAAACCCTACGAGTTCACCTTACAATACTGGCATATCCTTGCTGCTCGATTGGCCTTCATTATCGTATTTGAGGTTAGTCACTGATATGGCTTATAAAATTACCACAGGTGAACGCTTTTCCACCTTATATGTTAACTACCTCTTTGAAATCAGTTCTTCAGTGACTTTCAAAAAAAGACTTGAGGTTGTCCCAGAAAAAGGTTTAGAAACAGAGACACAACTGTAACAAGTGCAGAAAAGCAATAGCTAATGTAAGATGGGAGGTTAGTGAATGTTTATACCAGAAAACTAGGGTAAAAGAAGCTATTCACAGTAGCTGAAAAACTTAGTTTTGAGTTTCTTAAGATCCAAATTTTAAAAGGAAAGGATGGTTTTCATAATCTGGTAAAAGAAACTATATCTGTTCATCAGGAGGGAGAAATTTATTTTCTGGACAATCAGTTCTAATTACAGTTGATCTTTGTATAAGGGACATTGCATAATCCTATGAATTATACCTGAGCACTTTTATAAGAAACGCATGTGTTTTGATTTTCAGAGATGTACTATCTTAGAATGTAGTCCTGTGAAGAAATTTTGGAGAAGCTATGGTATCATTGCCTTGCTTAGCAT